GAAGGTGATGGACCGCTGGACAGTAGCTAAAAAAACAGGGTCCTGCTTTGTGTGCTTGAGCGATACCCACAGAGCAGCCCTTTGCAGAAACCAAACCAACTGTTTTCAAGACAATTGCAGGGTTCGGCATCACCCCTTATTGCACCACGATGGAAGATTTGAGCCGCGAAGAAACAATGGCCGGGTCGATAGAACCAACGAACACTCTGCGGGGGATACTCCGAAATCCGTCTGCACTATCGGACGGGTGTCAAATGGGCCGGTTCACTTGGGAGTAATACCAATTCAAGCGGAGACTCAGCGTGGCATGGTCCAAGGCGTGGCGTTTCTCGACAATGGTTTGGATACCACCCCCGCGAGAAAGAGCTTTGCGCGGGAACACGACCTGGGTGGACAAACAACCTCATTGGTAATCAGCACGGTAAATGGGGAACGAGCAGTTCGAGCATCCTTGGATCCTTTGATAGCATTGAGGAACCTGTAACGTCCAAAACGCGATTGTTCTGGTCCGAGCGGAACGAAAAACACCTCGTCTGTTTGCATTCACTCAAATGACCCTTCGCTCGTTCTGGATAGCGATAAAGAAATCTCGGAGCAACGCGTAGCCCAAATTATCAAGAACCATATTGATCCAAAAATAATCTACGGTACTATTTTTGCATTAATCAAAAATGCATAGGACAGTTATACCTCTCATAGTGAGTCTGGTTCACTATGCAGTCAAAATGTTACGAATATTCATAGAAAATATCTGCAATAATAAAAAGTAAATGAGAAGTTGAGTGATTTGAATTAACTTTCAGATAATTCTGGACCAATAGAAAAATTATGCACGCTTCAAATGATCAACCGAAATAATCTTCAGCGTTACAGCCAAAAGGAATTCAATATAACCGCAAGCAACGGTTAGTTCAACAGAGAGCGTCCGATTGAAACTTTGGTCGCAATAAAACAAGAAAGGCACGGAATCTCATTTACATGTAAGAGCAAGGCACTTGAAGTGTGTGTCCAATAGATATGCTTCACCGTAAAAATGGTGAACTCGAAGGTTCAGAAGAGAAAATTCACCGGTATGAAAACCACCGTCAGAAAGAATGCACGATAGATTGGCGAAGAACTACAAGGAAATGCAAAGTAGTTGAGAGGAATTTTCAGTCTTTTAGACTGTGACACCGGTCACCAAAATTCCTCCGAGCGGACAATGTCACCTTCGATAGTCTATTGCTGTGGCTCCCCCTCCTTACGCTCCCGAAGCAATGGAGTTCACAGGACTTACAGCAGTACGCCTGCACACCCCCTAGCCTATCACCTGAGTGTTATTCGTCTCCTTCTAATAGACACAGGTGAGGTACATCCCTTCTTATCTTGCCGCCAACCGTATGTACCACAGCCGTTGGCATGAGTCCACCTCCGTCTGTCTCCACAGCATCGATGATGACCATGGGCCATTTGCCACGTGTTGTGGTTTCAGACGCTTTCAATACGATGTCACCTGGTTTGAAATTGCGATGCTTCGAAAGCCACTTTTGTTGCACTTGCAGGGTTGGTATATACTCCCTCATCCATGGACGCCAGAAGTTATTAGCAAAGTGATTGACTTATCTCCACCGTCTTGTATAACTCTCCATCATTGTGAGACCTTCTAGGTTTTGATCGTTCTCCGTCATAAACAATTAACTGTTCGGAGACAGTGCTCTTCTTCCTTTATCATCCGATAAGCACAACACTAGCGGTCGGCTATTCGATATCCTTTCGATTTCTACAAAACAGGTTCGCAACGTTTCCTCATGCAATAACTGCTCCCTTGTCAAAACAAGCAGTAACCTGCGCACGGAGCGGATTATGCTCTCCCATACGCCTCCCCTATGACTCGAGGAAGAAGGATTAAAGAACCATTTTATTCCATCACATGCAAGACGGTCGGTAATCTTGTGTCCATTCCAGCGTTTAATTGTATCCTTTAGTTCTGATACGGCACCCACGAAATTTGATCTGTTATCACTTTAATTCTCTGGAGGTCTTCCTCGTCTACCGATGAATCTCAATAGACACAGGATGAACATATCTGTATTAAGCCTATTCCCCATCTCTAATTGCACGGCTCGGGTCTGTAAACACGTAAACACGTAGCCCTATTTCTTTTCCGAAGCACGACCCTTGCGAACAAACAGAGGTCCAAAACAATCAACTCCTACTGAGTTAAAACAGCACCAACTCTTTTGAACCCTACATAGCGGTAAGGGAGCCCTCATCTGCTGACCTGCCGAGGCTACCATTTTCCGACATACCATGCATTGACCTATTACTCACTTCACTTCACTGATTCCCTTGACAATCCAATATTTTTCACGGATCGCTGACAAAACGTGTGGTGTACCACTATGTCCTTCTCTGTTATGATAGTGGCGAATGTAAGATCAGTCACATGATATCTATTCGGTAGGATCACCGGATGCTTGAAATGGGATGAGTGGTTTGCGTAACTAAGTCGCCCACCTACACAAAGCAAGTCACCTATCGTAACTGGACAAAGCTTCCTCAAAGAATGCACCATGTCTCCGTTTCGTGCTTCTTAAAGTTTTGCCTGTAATGTTGATTCACCATATGTTTCGTTCTGCACCATTACCAAAATATTCCATTGAGCTACGTCGATTTCTTCGATCGTGAGCTTTCCTACGCTCAAGGTACTTTCGTTTCTCGACGAATACATAATTCTGATGTATGAGTTGAAACGAATAGTCCATGCAACTGACTTTAAAAGTTTTGACCATTGAGAGTAACGATGCAGAGGATGTTCTAGTTTTATCGACCAAATAGCTGTGTTCACGCGTGCTACAATTTTCTTCATCTCCACGCCATCCGGTGGGGACGATAGTGGAGATAATGCCTATGGAATATAGCTCTGTAAGAACATCGGTCCCTCTAACTATGTCTCTATTTCTCTTTTGGTTGGTATACCTCTCGAAGTAAGGTGAGCGATATTTTGTTCGGACCGGATGTGACGCCATCGGGACACCGTGGAGTAATGATGGATGATTGCTGAGCGATTGGAAGCGAATGTACTAAAACGTGTTGAAGTATTTTTCTATATAATATTTGACAATCATTGAATCCATCCAGTACCACACCTCGCTGAACATCTCCGATAGAGCCCTTTTTATCAACTCTCCTATCTTGATTCCGAGGACTGCCACAGACAGTTCCAGTCGCGGTATGGATACGAGTTCGATAGGTGCTTTCGAGACTTACTGAATAGCAAAACGCTGTAAGCCGGTTTCTTGCTGGAACGCACCACGCGTAGGCGATGGCCCCATAACCTGTCTCGGATGCATCACATAAAACATGCAACTCTGTTCTCCCTCCTTCTTCGCAATCTTCGTTTCCAATACTTCTTGGGATCTTAATTACTTCTATACATCTAACAAAGCGTACCCAGCTTTCCCAAATACTGGCATCCACAGCATTGAGAGGTTGGTCCCAAACCATTTTGGATTTACACAATGTTTGCAACAACCACTTTGCTGGGAGGCACAAAGGGGCTACCAGACCTAGCGGGTCGAACCACGAACTGACGCTGGATAATACACCTCTTATTGTCACCGGCTTGTCTAGTAGCTGGAACTGGAACATAAAAACATCTCTTGTTGTGTCCCACCGCACGCCCAAAGCTCTCTGACAACTGGAATCAAATTGGGGTGGTTGAACTAGGTTGGTACTCGTGCTGTCTTCCAAGGGGGATTCTGCAAGTTCGGGTGAATTAGTTGACCACTTTCTCAGCTTAAAACCACCTCTTCCCAATATTTCGGTTATTTTCCCTGCAAAACGTAAGGCTTCGTCACATTTCGTGAACAATATAAGACAGTCATCAACCTAGAAGTTTTCTTCTATGGCCTTTAGCACCACACGCCCATAACTACTACCGAATTCTCTTGCAGTCCTGTTCAAGGCAAAATTAGCACAAAACGGTGAAGAAGTTGCACAAAACGGGTGAGTTGTTATTTGGTATTCCTCGGGATCCTTAAGTGGGTAACCCTGTGGCCATCAGAGAAACCTCAAAGCACCTCTATCATGTATTGTCACCTTTACTTGCATAAAAATCTCTTCTATGTCAGCTGTAACACCTACATGTTCTTTTCGGAATCGCAAAAGTATACCCACTAAATTTGCGGTGGTGTCTGGAACTTGATAGAGCATGTCATTTAACGTTTGCCCCTTGTGTTTGACCGCACAATCCAAAACTATACGCAGCTTTTCCGGCTTTTTGGGGTTCAGTACTGCATGATGGGGCAGGTACCAACGCGGATGAAAGTCACAGTGTACCTGTTCCTCTGGGACAGTCACGGCATATTTCTTCTCTATAGTCATCTTCATCGTCTGTGCGTAACGGAACCGTAATGCTTCGTCATTAATTGAGCGCCGCTTCAGGCTGTTCAACCTCGAGAGCGCTGACGCATAGTTTCCCAGGTCGGTATTGACGCCCTTCTTCCATGGCAGAGGGACCACGAAGTTCCCATCGACAAACATTGTACCGGACTCTACAATATCGATAGCCTCCCATATATGACTCCCTCGTCCCATACCAGGAATGCACAAAGTGCATACAAAGTGAGTTAAACGTTTTCGCGGACGCGTCGGTGGGATACTGGGTGGTCGCCTACGGTTGCTCGTCTCGGCCAGGAGGAAGGAGGCATAGCAGTATGCTATTGGCTTAGACCAGGGTCGTTCCCCTCAAAGCAATCTCAATACCTAGGCTAGAACTGGCCACAGCAGTATTAGCCGTGAGGGTAGCGAAGGTGCTCAAAAGATGTTTTAACTCCATCGAATGGACCGTAACTTACTGGAATGATTCCGCTATTGTTCTTCACTATGTTAGCAATGTACGGACGCGCTTCAGCACATTTATTGCCAACCGGCTAAAAGTCTTTCACGAAGAAACTGGGGTGTGTCAATGGCGGCACGTGAAATCCTGTGACAATCCAGCCGACTAGTGCTCTAGGGGTGTGCTGAACGTGGAAAAAATAAAATCGTGGTTACATGGATCGGCTTTCTTGACGGATCAGCACAGCGAATGGCCCGACACTCAGATTCCCCCTGTCACAACGGAGTTACCAGAGACGAAGAAGATCATTACGTTAGTCGCTGCTTCAACCAACACCCTATTGCAGAAACTGCGTCGCTTTTCACGATGGACGAAGGTGCTGACGGTGGTTGTCTAGTGGACCATGTTCAGACGACAAATCGCTATTATGAGAGGACTCTGAGCTGACGACACCTTGAATATTCGCCGAAACTGGAGTGGACTACTTCGGGTCACTTTGGGTGAGACGAAAGACGTCAACGGAGAAACGGTGCGGATGTTTGATAACCTGCCTACACTCACGAGCTTTCCATATAGAGACCGTACACAGTATTTTAACCGACTTCTTTCTTATGGCCTGGCAGAGATTCGTGGGTAGACGAGGCAACCCATCGAATGTGTTCACTCCACTCAATTTTACTCAATAGGAAGTATGTTACCTAGATTTAAGTAAGGCGTTCGATTCCGTAAGTCATAGACCTCTCCTACATAAGCTACGTTTTTCGGAATCACAGGAACAATATTTAAATGGACGGAAGCATTCTTGACCAATAGGACATTCTGGGTTAGGGTAGGAGAACAAACGTCTCAAGTCCTTAATATCACAAATGGCGTGCCACAAGGGTCAGTGTTAGGCCCGTATTCGACTTGTTTCTCGAATAACTTTCACTGTATCCCCTCCGTTCTGGTCTGTGTCACAAGCTAACCAGGTGGCTGGGTACACTTCCTTAACCCATTATTACCAGTACACGCAACCAGCTTCAAAGCAGGATCCGTGGAGCACAATTCTGCCCGGAACATACTTTCACATGTATTGTGACCAAATATTCTGTAATCGACTTGTCTTTCGAATTGTTTTCTCTCAATCCCCTCCGTTCTCGTCTGTGGCGCAAACTAGCCAGTACACGGAACCAGCCTCAAAGCAGGATCCGTGGAACACAATCTAATCCGGTACATGCTTTCACAAGTGTGACCCAATATTCCGTAATCGACTTGTTTCTCGAATTTTTTTCACTGTATCCCCTCCGTTCTGGTCTGTAGCTTAAGCGAAACAGGTGGCAAATGTTGACAAGTCAGCAGTTTTCTCTTCTGGAAGCATTTCTCAAAAAGTAGATTGGTCCAGCCACATTGCGGATTAGATATTCTTTTGGTGAAAACATACTCTAGGTTTATCACCCATAATTCTGAACATCTCAACCCTATCATCAATTCGCAATTCTTTTTATCCCACCCACTCCCGTGGCACATGCTGACAACCCAGCAGTGTTCACCTTCACACCCATTCTAGATCCAGTACACTAGTCAACTTAC